TGTCGCTCTCCCAAGGGGTCATCACTCACCCAGACCCTCAGTGGCTCCGGTTGACCGTGTGGCGCTTGAGTGGGTGCTCCTGAAGAAGGATGGACTTCCAGATGATGTGATACGTACCATTCAATTGCCAGACGACCATCGACGATTCGTATCTATGAGGCTTCCTGGAAAGTGTTTACTGTCTGGTGTTCCAAACGTCACATGGATCCCACATCGGCCGATGTACTGGAGATCTTGCAATTTCTTCAAGCCGGGTTGGACAAAGGGTTGGCCCCTACAATGTGCTCTTGGTGTCATTTCATCCTGCTTCCATGGGACGGAAGGTGTTGTCTTCCACTGTGGGTCGTTGGATCAAGGCGTGTATTTCAATAGTTTATGAGCACCAGGCCAGACCGGTTCCGGGCAGGATCTTTGTTCATTCTACTCACAGCGCAGCGACAACAGCTGCGTGGGCTACTCAGGCTTCAATTGCTGACATCTGTCGAGCTGCTACTTGGTCTTCAGCTTCTCAGTTCATCCGTCATTACAAAATTCATTTGTTCGCCTCGGCTGAGGCTTCATTTGGCAGACGAGTGCTTCAACAAGTTCATTCTGCCGGGGAGGCCGGGAGCAGTCAGCCTCCCACCCAGTAGTTGAGCTTGGGTATATCCCAGCATGGAACGTAGGAAGCAGCGCACTGGAAAATGGACGTTGGCTTACTTGAACGTCCTTTTTCAGGGCACTGCGACTACATTCCATTCCCGCCCTTGTTCCGGCTTCCTGCTCTGTCCGGCTTGTTGTTGGCGGTGTTTGTGTTGTTTGTTTGTTTCCTTTCCTATAGATTCCTGGTTTCCAGCTCCTTCGTGAAAAGACTGAAGTAATCAGCATGAAAGGGGGAGGAGACCAGAGGAAAATTTGAATAATTAACACCCAGTGATTAGCTACTCACAAGTGAATTCCCAGCCATGGAATGTAGTCGCAGCGCCCTGAAAAAGGATGTTCAGGTAAGCCAACGTCCATTCCCTATTAATCCACACACAAATAGCTACAAGAATGTGTTCTTAATTTGCTCCAGGTTCTTATGGTGAATTTCTTCATAAACAAATAGGCAGATAATTATCTGCCTAGCTCATAAACCAAGGTGACAAATTGAAAGATATAAAACTACAATAAATGGCCCTAAACAGTCCAATTCATCTTGTTTCTATGAGATACCACATCGTTGTCTTCAGAACTACCAATGAAGGTAGCCTCAGAGACCTTTCCATCAGAGCTGGAGATTACCGACATTAAGTCTTTGGTGATTCATACTTGTACCTTCTAGTTTTTGTTGCATGTTTTTAATGGATAAATCTATTTGCAGGTTATCTACATTCTAACCTTAAAATCTAGAGTAGGCCTGCACATCATATGACCCAAAGCCACATGCAACCCACCAAGCAGCCTTGTGCAGCATTTTTTTGAAAATTTAACAAATCCCGTTGCTAAAAGTTACCATCATCAGGAAGGCTCCATTACCACCACTATTTTTTCTTAACCACCTCTCCTCTGATGCCTCCAATCCTCAGCGACATTGCTGTTGCTGTTGCTGCACAGTTAGTCACTGAACACACATCAGCCCACCAGCTACTCCTAGGCAGCCCACTATTATTTTTATTGCATCAGTATGGTCTTTTCTGTGATATGAGTTGTACCTGTCTGCTCTAAATGAAATAATGCTGAACATTACTGAACTGTCACCAGGCAGAACATTTCAAGCCTTGACATTGCAGACAATCACTTAAATATGAGCCAGCAGTGTGCTGCAGCTGCCAAAAAAGTAAACACAGTCCTAGGCTGCATTAACACAGAGAGAGACTCAAGATCATGTGAAGTGTTAGTGCAATGTTGTAATGCCTTTGTAAGGCCACACTTGGAATATTGCAACCCAGCTTTGGTTGCCACAATATAAAAAAGATGTTGAGACTCTAGAAAGAGTGCAGAGAAGAGCACAAAGATGATTAGAGGACTGGAAGCTAAAACATATGAAGAGCAGTTGCAGGAATTGGGTATATCTAGTTTAATGAAAAGAAGGATCAAAGAAAAGGGAACCAACCTATTCTCCAAAGCACCTGAAGACAGGACAAGAAGCAATGGATGAAAACTAATCAAGAAGAGAACTAAGGAGAAATTTCCTGACGTAAAAACATGAGAACATAAACAAGTGGAAGAGCTTGCCTTTAGAAGTTGTGGGTGGGTGGTCCAAAACTGGAGGTTTTTAAGAAGAGACTGGACAGCTGTTTGTCTGAAATGTTATAGAATTTGAGCAGGGGGTTGGACTAAAAGATCTCCAAGGTCCCTTCCAACTCTGTTTTGTTATATACTTCTATATTTTAAATTTACCCTTCATTTTAAAGAACGGTAAATATACCATATCCATAGAATTGCACTGAATTTGACTTTTCAGACTGGTATTTCGCCAGGAATATTTGTCAGTAGCTCACCTTGCTTTAACAAGGAGTATAATTAGTCTTATTCTTAAACAGGATATTTTCTCCAAACCAACTAACATGAGATGTTTCAATATACAGAACTGATAAACCCAGGTAAATTTACAGACTTTGCTACTTATCCAAATCATGTGGATAAAATTCACTTTTCGTGAGATGGGCAGCTATAAATTTGGTGCATAAATAAAATAAATAAATAAACACAAGACAGAAATTAGTTGCTGTGGAGTAGCAAGAATTAGCACTTGATAAGAAATATAAAAGTCATTTGCTTTATAATAAAGAAGAAACCCAGGATGATATAGAGCCACCCTGTTATTGAAGTTTATTATCCAATGTATCATTAGATTTCAGCATTTTTGTCCCCTTGCAGATCAAAAGCCATCCCTTAGGGGAGTAAGCCAAATGATAAAAGCTCCAAATTATTCAAATTATGGTTTGAAGATAGAATTTGCTTTAAGCTGACTCATTTCTGCAGGGCATGTGCCGTCACTTACAATTATTGATTCTCCTTGACAGTTCAAATACTTTAATCACTCAGGTTAATAACTAAGGTGGAATAGATATATAAAATCAGGGCATTTTTTTTAAACTGATGTTTTACTTAAGCTATGTGTTACAATTTTCCTTAAGACTTTAGATGTAAACATACATATGATTTCCTGAAAGCCGGTTTATAAGTAATTTGAAAAAAAAAAAAAACTATCCACCATTACAACTTATTTTGGTTGGAAGAGTCCTCTCAGATAATGGAGCAAGAAAAAGAGCTTATAAAATGCCTGAAGGCTAAATTGACAGTCTGATAAAGATGAGAGAAGAAAAAGGAAGAAAGGGTCCTAGTGAACATAACCGTGACCTCTCTGAAATTGACTTGCTGGCCTGTGGGCTTCTTTCTTAATGGTTTGCACAGGGACTCTAAGAGGAAACTACAAAAGGATAAAGAAGTTAAATCCTCTGGTTCTTGAAAGACTCTGATTCTTTGTTAAACAGAGCATTCCACCATATGCATGATAAACAAGACAACAAGGTTTATCTAGCAAATGTCATGTCTGCTTAAATCTCTGGATCAACTTTTGGGAAGCTTTGGAATGCCCTTCCCCATAATGCTTACTTCATACTAAATGCCATGAAAACAATACATATTTTTTTACGTATAAAATGTACAGAGAAGATGTCTACAAATATTTATGAAGAATTACATAAAAACAAGGGGAGGCGGTGGCTCAGTGGCTAAGACAAGCTGAGCTTGTCGATCAGAAAGGTTGGCAGTTTGGTGGTTCAAATCCCTAGTGCCACGTAACGGGGTGATCTCCCGTTACTTGTCCCAGCTTCTGCCAACCTAGCAGTTTGAAAGCACATAAAAAATGTAAGTAGAAAAATAGGGACCACCTTTGGTGGGAAGGTAACAGCATTCCGTGCACCTTTGGCATTTAATCATGCCAGCCACATGACCACAGAATTGTTATCGGACAGCACTGGCTCTTTGGCTTAGAAACGGAGATGAGCATCGCCCCCTAGAGTCGGGAACAACTAGCACGTATGTGCAAGGGAAGCCTTTACCTTTACCTTACAAAAAATAAGCAAATTAGTTCCCTTTCTATACTATTATATATTTTAATGTTATATTTTATTTTAAAAGATTGGTATGTTTATGGTCACTCACCTTTCTGGGTAGCTCACAACAATAAAACTATAAAAACCATTTAAAAAAACACCTAAAAACCCAGTGCCTCAATCAATTTTCCAGGGTGCCCCAACAATCCTTCACAGGCTTTAACACTCTACCCCGGTACCTGAGTAAACAGCAAAGTTTTAATGGCCTTCTGGAACACTAAAAGAATGGGGGCCTTCTGGATTGCTGAAGGGAATGTATTCTATAAAGGAGGGCAGCCAGAGATAAAGCTACTTCCAAGGTTCCATTAGATGATAATGTTTCAGAGAGTGATCTCGAGCATGCCCTTCCTACTCAATCTAGTGGGATGGACAAATATGTCAAAAAAAGGCAGTCCTGCAAATAGCCTGATCCTGTTCCTGGTCCTATGCTACGTAGAACTTTAAAGATAATGACCAGAACCTTGAATTGCACCTGAAATTAAATTAGACGGTCTATGCAGCTTGCATAACAGGGGTGTAACAAGGGAAAACCTAGAGGCACCCAATACCATGCATACCTCTAGGTTTGCCCACATTCCACCCATTTTGTAGATGTACTTTCACATCTTTGTCTAAATCTCTACTGCACAGCAACACATTATGATGTCTTTCAACTTTTCCTTGCATGGCCTGACTTTCAAAATCTTCTTTCTCATTCTTTCAAGTCTCTTCAGCCTTTTCTTATTCTGATGCCTAAGTAGATATGGATTACCCAATATTGAATCAAATGATTACTATTATTTTTCAACCCAGGATTTGATCCTTCTTTAAATGAAATGGGGCTTTGGGCTGTATCATCTAAGAAATGAAAAAAGAGACAGGACAAGAAAGCAGATGAACTGTAACACAGAGCAAAAAAAGGCAGACTTGGGTATATACCTCAGACATGTTTACACGGCCTTCAAGGAAGGAGCAGTCTGCTGCATTGTGAGTACAAATGTGACGATATTTACACCAGTGGCAAGGGAAGGATCCATTCACACAGGACAGGCAGCTGTTAAAAAAAGAAGAAGAAGGCAAGCATTAATACTTTCAGAAACACCATGATTACATAAGAGTGTGTTTTTTTCATTATTACTAGCAGTGTGTCATAAACAAAAGTGGCTCATGACAAAGATCCAGAAAGTGTTGACAATATATACAATAAGCGAAGAAATGAACATCAGGCCAAGAAATGAAAAACTTGTACTATACAATGGAACCTGTGGGGAAGATTTTATAGGTTAGGACAGTGGATTAACATCTGGATAGAGCCATAAGTATTGACATCTCTATTGTTGCTAAAAGCCTCAGTGGCTTTTTGGCAAAATGTTTGTCATATAATACAAATCATAAAATGGCAATGGTAGAAACACATCATTCCTTAGGATCATAATAGGATACAGAGTGAAATGTCAATGAAAAATGTCCCTTACAGGGCCCTCCGAGTCTTTTTCCACAGTTTTACATCCTTAGTTCCATGTTGAGACAACCGAGTTCACTACTGAATCAAAGATGAGAACACTATAAAGAAGCTAAGACACCACCTTCAGTGACTGCAAATACAGAACTTTACAAATGTCACAGTTTAATATTCACATTCCTTAGCCCTTGTGTCAACCGCCTTCTCCTTTCTCCACACTGGGGCCTCATAATGCTTTCCGTGTGGTTAAATCTGTGCCCCAATGACCTCGGCTTCTAACTTGGCAGCATTACAATTCTTTCTTTCCATCGATATGCACTATGGGTTGAGTCACAGATTTTTATGAGCTTTATTTTGGGATGTATGAAAAGCAATTTAAATAAACAGATAGCAAAACAAGAGAGTTCCACTGAGTGGAGAAAACCCCTGAAAAATGTAATATAGAATCATTCCAGGAAAAAATATATACAGTTAATGCAAAATCTGAGTCAGATTAACATTTGAAGAATCATTTTTTAAATCTTATTATAAAAACATACTACAATGTCTTCTATTATCAACTTATGTTGCTTCTGTGCGTACTGTATACCCTTTGAAAAGATGGAAGGCTGAATCAACCCTGAGGTCCATCAAGATTGAATTACAGGCCACTGTGGGCAGAGTTTTGCCTACAATACTGCATTTTAATCACAGCACCACCAGGGCTCAAAAGAGTTAGTGGGGCTTTTGATAGATTAAGAATTCTTTAACTTCATTTCCCCCAATGATCAAGCCTGTAATCTCAAGTTTATTTATGAGTTTTTGATCTTCATTCCCATTTGCCTCTGCTTTGTTCACATTGGAGAGAAAAATTCAGGATCTCGTTGGTAGTCTTCATTTGTGATATGTATGGGAAGGGGGAAGGAAGGGAAACAAACAGGTGAAGTAAACAGAACTCTATTTTTTGTTTTAAAATCCGTAGCAGCTTTCTTTCTCATACTGACAATAGTTAGGGCTGCTACTAATCCAGAAACATCAGATAAATAGATATCCTAGAAATCATATTCCCCAGTCTCTGGTACACCAGGGCCCAATTATACCTGCAAAAACAGAATGCTACTGTCTGGGTTTGCTGTAAATGTGATATGTTTTCAATTGTCATCTTATTCAGGCAAATGTTTTTGATCTCAGCATTCAGAGAAATGAAGATTTGTATGAGGCCCGAGGAGAAATTAAATCAATTCCCATATTTCTAAAGCTTTGGAGAGCCATGTGAATAAAGTCTTGTTAAGAAAAATAATCAGGAGATGGGTTGCCCTGACTGTAACTAGGTAATTCAAATCACAGTTAATCGTTAATCCACCCACTTCAACCCACTTACTAAAATTGTAGAACTTTGGTATCATTGCTAAAGATACAAAAAAATAGCTATTTTCTTGAAGTTTATTTGTGTTTATTTGTGTTTTCATTCCCAAATCAAAAAACAGATTTAACAAACATGTTTGTTTATTTCATCTATTTATACATCACATATATCATACTCAAATGCATGTGTGATTATGCATTAATACCTAAAATGGTACAGTCATAATTGGTAGGCAAAATATGGAATAATTTCATTATCTGGAAAGAAACTACTAAATATTTTACATAAAGAATGTATGAAGTTAATCCTTGCATATCAGATTCAAAAGATGTTATGTACCATGTGATGACAAAAACATTCAGCACTATGGGGACACCATTTGGCTTCAGTGGGTACAATGCAAAATTCTCAGTCCCATGCACTTGCTTTGAACTCACTGGGCCATATAGCCTTTTCTAACTATTAATACCTCTTGCATCAGCAAATAAACCCCCATGAGGGAAAAACATAAAAATTGCCCAACTTTGTGTCAAAAGAGATATAGTAACAGAAGCAGTTAGATAAGATAGTACCGTGATGGCGAACCCATGGCACCCGTGCCAGAGGTGGCACACAATGCCCTCTCTGTGGGCACGCGAGCCGTCGCTCCAGTTCAGCTCCGCCATGCATGCGTCCACACCTCCCACCTGCTAGCTGGTCTTCGGGTCTTGGATGTGCATGTGCAGGGGTGGGTCACATGCATGGGGGCTGTGCATGCTTTGCATTTTGGGGGTTCGGGCATGCACTTTGGGCACTCGGTCCAAAAAAGGTTAGCCATCACTGAGATAGCACATAGATCTGACATCCAATCTCATCTGTGAAACATCAGCTGAATTCATTTTTGAGATGCCCATAAAAATCAACAGCTCTGAGAATCATTCTATTTATCTGGCGGGGTGAAGGAGACACGCATATGATTTTATTCCCACCTTCCATATTGTACATATTAATTCTGCTTGTCACAAGCAAAAATGTGTGCCAGTTACAATGTACGTGAATGGCGATCAATGACTGAAAGATGTGTAACAGTTGTAAATGTGCGCCTGTTGTGAAGCACACAAACAGTGTGCATGTGACACTGCAATGGCTGTAAATGCAAGGATTGGTCACAAAGTTGTTTTTTTTATCACTGCTGTAACTTCAAGTGATGGCTGCACAGGGTAGTGAGTAAGCAAGGGCTACCTGCTTATAATATAATACACATGTATTATATTTCTAGACTTTTGTTAAGTTCACTTAATTAATGGGTGAGTTTAATGCAATAATATTTATGTTTGAGAGTATAATCATGTGAAAATGAAAGTGAATTACTCCAGTGCCAACATTAATTCTTTAAGCAGGGATAAAATAGTTCTATGTGAGAAACTAAATGTAACTTCTATTGAGGTTTATTAGTGGGTAGTCCTGTGCACCAATATCTATTAACATCTTTCCTTCTTTTTTGGAAGTTTTTCCTCTGCCACTGCTAAGGAAAAAGAAATACTTTTAATCTCAACTGATCACCCTGGCAATATCCACTGAGGTTCTTTATTTTACCAAAGTATAAGAGCCAGGGAGACTCTTCATACTTCTATTGAGATCTGAATATGCTTCATTCAAAATTAAGCATTATAGCATGTTTGGGAGTTTATCCCCTATATCCATATGTCATCCCTATCTGTTTATGTTTCAGCAGCAGGTTGCTTGACAGCCTGACACCATCTGTTCCATCTCTCCTTTTTCCTGGGGTGAACATTGTTTACTGTCAATATTCAGGGACTAAACATTTTTTAATGTTTAGAGAAAGTAACTGCATTTCCACAACTTACATATTTGTTCAAACCGGCTCAAATCAGTCATAATAGGCTCAAGCCCAATCTTCCTTTCAAACTTAGGTATTGTTTAAGAGGTAATACTCAAATCCTTTCATCTAGTCCAGGTAATCTCTTCACAAGCGGCATTTCCGGTAAGTAAAGCCATAAATTGATTAATCTGATCTAGAATGAATGGAAAGATTCTGAGGTGGGGGGGAAAGCTAGACGGAAGTACTATTTCCATCTCTGCTACAAAGCGATACTTGAAATGTGTTAATTAAATTTCTATTTGGGTTTGCGAATTGGCTAGACAGGATTTCACATTTTTGTAAAAAGCCCATTAAATCTGAGATAATGAGAATAGAAATACCATCCTTCAAAAGTTATGGTTTATATTTTTAGACAATCAGGGTCACTTTTGTTTCTTTCACTGCTGCCATTTTTAAGTTGGTTTCAAAGCATCTGCGTGCGGAATTTTTCAAATTAATTATGATTGATTCTCACGCTTGCCTGAGGTCAGGTTCATATGATTTGGCATTATATTGGATATTAATGCAATTCTGGAAACAGTGCTATATAAGATATAAAAAGCGCTATAAAAAAGTCTCAAAGCTTCATGGGAAATATTGGAGGGCACGATGCCCTCTAGTGGAGAACATCTTTGCAAATAGGAAAAAATAATAATATTTATAATTATGCTTGCATACATATCCATAAGCTTTCATGAGGGAATATAGAATGTAAGAATCACATAAAGAAAACAATTTATTTTTAAATACTCTCTCAAAATAGAAATTAATAAGAGATGCAAAGTCTTTGCCTGTTAATTACATTTAAAAATTTTCTAAGGAGAGCTTAAAAAAATGTATACTATGTTGTTAAGCCAAGAAACAAAGATTTTTGCTCCTAAAAAATCTTGCAGTCCTACACAAACTTCTGAATTCTGCTATGTGAATCTTTCTTTTGTAGTCAAGATTAGTGGGTGAGGCATATCAGAATTTATGCTAGTTTACAGAAGGGGTTTTTTTTAAACCCGATAACCATAATTACCTAATTGATGTTCAAGGACCACAAAGATCTTGCTCTAGTGCAGTGATGGCTAATCTTTTGGGTGCTGAGTACCCAAAGCGCAAGTGCAAGAATGCACGCAGATGTGCCCGAATCCCCAAAATGCAATGCAAGCCCCCCCCCCCGGTGCATGTGCCCCACCTCCACACATGCATGTGTGTCCCCTGCGCATGCACCCCAGCCCCCATACCCCATTTTGGCTTTCAGATTGGTACAGGAGGCTTTCCAGGCCCAAAATGGGGTGATCACACGGACCCCCTCATGCCCGTCGTAGTTTTCAGGTTGGTGCAGTGGCTTTCCAGGCCCTAAACTGGGCACGGGGTGTCGCACAAGAACCTGCTGTGCCC